ACCCTCCCACCCACCCGTCTGTTCTGCAAACCAGCATGGCGGAGCGGCTGTCAAATATCGCCAAGAAGTGCATCAAAGCACGGCCCTAATTTCCCCTCAGAATGATTCCTATATTCGGAATATCGGGGATGTTTTTGGTTCTGTCTATCGTGGTTTTTCTATAACAGCGCATCTTTCTTAAACCCCTACTGATTTCTGAGGGGAACAGGGGAGAATTCAACTTTCTGGCCGTTAAGACTTTGATGCTCGGTTACGTCGGACTCCCTGCTCTTGTGCAACCGGTTTATTCTATGTTTTTTTTAATTGTAAGGTCCGTAGAGGCAAACGATTGAGATTTTCTGTACGTACGTTAGGGCGTAAGGGACCTTCCTGTGAATTTTGAGTTTTTGTGGATACGAAACCAGCCACTGACGGTAGGGCGCTTAGGCACTCCGTGGTCACCCCAGATTCTTCCCCAAAATCTTGGTTCTTAGCTGTCGTGGTCCCTCGCCTCGCCGTCCAAAGTGAAACCAATACGCGTTAAGCATAAAATCTTTTATGTGTTAGAGAAAGTACAAAAAGAGCACAGAAGGGGGTGGCTTTGCAACAGTTGATACTCAAAACTATCCTGCTTCAGAGTAACTGCTTCTATAGGTTTTCTATTCAGGTTACGTTGGAGTGAAGAATATTAGATTTTTCTTGTTATCTCCCCCCTCTGGGGACACATTACAAATGAAGGTGTCTGGTCTCAGGAAAGAGAACCAAGAACAGCTGAAGCAGAGAAAAAATACTTCTTAACCATGGGTTGGTTACACGTACATTCCACAGGTTGCTTATAGAAGTCAGATTTTCTTTCCCAATGTAGAGATTTCTAGGGTAAATTCCTGATTAAGTTTTTCTGTCAAATATGGGGTGACGTATATGGACGGTTTCAGGTGGTGGTACTTCTTCAAGAATTCTTCTGTGGGACCTTGATGGTGACCTAGTAAGAAGATAAGCAGATGGGATTTTGCAGTTTTTTACTTTTACTTTTACTCTCTATCCCAACCTCATATTGTAAAGGCAAGTAAATTGTGCAAGTTTGGCTTAATGGATCCACCTTCTTACAGTTTGGAAAATATCCATCATGTGCTGTTAGAATTACCAATTTTTAACTAGTAAACCATATTCCTATTTGCAGCGGAGCTGATGGCTGCCATCCTCAGGCAAAGCAAAAGTCAGGGCTTTCAGGAACACAGTCAGGAATGCACTGGTTATTTAACACTGCAAGATGTTCTGTTATTCAGGTTGCAGTGTGCAAGGATATCGGCTTCTCATTTTATCTCTTAACCTGCACACAATTTCCTTAAAATCAAGGGGAGAGCTCCCATAACTTCTTAAAATAAATGCTTTGTATTTGACCTGACTTGACCTGAAGATGTCACCACTAGTTCCTTTGGACTATAGTTAACCATACTTACTGTTTTTACTTCCATGTACGGGGTCAGGCCGTATTCTCCCCCCTCACGCCCTTGGCCGGATTCTTTGTACCCTCCAAATGGAACCTGTGCCCCAAACACATTGTAGCAATTTATCCTGCAAGAGACAGTTTGCAATGGAAATGTTTTCTATTACGCTTCCTTTGTTATACAAATAATCAACTAATTTAAAGCTACATTGAATGCATAGAATAACAATTGAGGACAAGTACTCATTTGTGATGTGGGAAATCTTAATAAGTTTCCAGTTTTCATTAACTTGAAAGGGGATGGGGAAGGAGTGACTAAAAGAGTCTTTCTGATAGGCGTTGGGGATTGCAGCATGGAAAGCAAGTGCTCCACAACTGATCCTCTGCTTTTTCCTTCAGAGTTACATTCTTAAGTTTAAGGGCTTACCAAACAGTTCCAGCTCGCAAGCCCTGAGAAATGTAGTTTGCTTTGTCAATATCTTTTGTGAAAATAGCAGCTGCCAGCCCATATTTGGTGTCATTTGCCCTCTGGATGACTTCCTCAATGGTTTTGAATTTCAAGATCTGCATAACAGGTCCAAAAATCTGCAAAAGAAACATATCTGCAAGATTACAATTTATTTGTACAATAGGATTCTTTGCAATATTGATGCCCAGAGTCACATATAAGGATACATATTTTAAGGAACTGGCATCCATTTTTACAGGCTGGACAATTCTGGAGTTCAACACTCTTAGTTATGTAATGTGAACCAATATAACAAGATGGCATAAATTAGAAATGTACTACTATGGCAACGCATGATTTTCCTAACCTCTTCTTTGGCTATTGTCATATCATCCTGCACGTCTCCAAAGATAGTTGGCTGGACAAAGTAGCCCTTATCTGCTGCAGGGTTCCCACCACAAAGTAATTTTGCTCCTTCTTTTTTTCCACTGTCAATGTATCCAAGGATCTTCTTATACTGTGTTTCATCCACCTTAAGAGAACAAAAAAAAGCCAGCACTTCCGTTCAGTTAAGATGCTACTACCATAAGGGAGGAAATCGGTCTGTATGAACAAAAATTGCATATTGAACACTTTTTAATGCCAACTGACCTGGGAGATTAGGGTTGCAAACAGACAGATTAGGTCAATTTATCACTTCTATTTATGAAGGTTTTTAAAACTTTAAAAAAAACATGCAAGTACATCTGCATTTTACTGACTATTTTAGGTAATGTTAACATTTTAAGTTAATGGGAAGATTATGTTTTGTGTAACATACAGTAATTAAGAGCATTTTTTTTTCCTGTCTAGAACAATGGCTCAGTTTTCCTAATCCGAGATATTATTTTAAAGGAGCTCCCCAAAGAGTGGATGGTGGCACATTGGAATTGTTTTGTTCTCACCTGAGGCCCATGTTCAGTTTTGAAGTCAAACGGGTTTCCAACTACTCTGGATTTGGCTCTCTCCACGCTCCTCTCCACAAACTCATGATATATATCTTCTTGGACAAAGGTCCGAGATCCAGCACAGCAGCACTGTCCTTGATTGAAGAACAATGCAGAATGGGATTGTTCCACAGCCCAGTCCACTAAAGAGGAAGAAAGGAAGGCACCCAAGTGAGGCAATTTGAAAAAAACAACAACAACAAAACCAACCAATATCTTTATTCTTACTACTGCTACTACAGTAATTAATCAATTAATTTAATTTCTCTTCCATCTGGAAATCAGCTACTAATCTTACTTTTTGCATCAGCAGTGTGGTCAGCCTTTATCTGGACTGGTTCAAATCCCAACCCATTACAATTCCTATTTTCCTCACCAATCCAACATAGCCAGAATTGAGAAAAGTTGATCAAGGCTGAAGAAGATTAGTCTGAAATGCCTTTGCCCTTTCTAAACTAGGTAATCTTCATTTACAGGGTCCACTAAATACATTTCAGTGAAGAGCTTATCCAAATCGCTATGCTGACTCGGAGGTTCCCACGGCAGTCTGCACTGAAGCTGCCAACCCCCTTCCAGATGCAAATTCATTCCACTGTCTGTCCCCACCAAGAAGAACGTCTTACTTTCAGCATCAGACATGATAATGTTTGGGCTCTTCCCACCAAGCTCAAGAGTCACTCTCTTCATATTACTCTCTGCTGCAGCCTTCTGGATCTGGTGCCCAACCTGTACAGTTAATAATCAGAGAGTTCTATTGAACAGTATAACAAGCTGTATTTGAGGAAAAGTTCAGTGATGGAATCAGCTTTGTTTTGTGTTCTCCAGTGCCTAGAGGCAACAAGACATCACTCTACCTTTTTTAAGATTAAGGTCTAGTGGCTGGTTAGAGATAATTCCTGAAACCTGCAACCCCAGGCTATAATTTTGTACCCATGGCAATTTCCTAAAGCCTCAGGAAATAGTGAAAGACCTAAGTTGAAAGTCACTCTGTTGGACCAAGGCAGATGAAATATTACTACACGTAAAAGTGACCTGATATTTAATGAAGTTTGAGCAATTTAATTTATACCCCATTTTTCCAACAGTGCACAACATTCAAAGTAGCTAATGGTAACTAAAATAAGGCACCTGTCATAATATAATTAAAAGCATTTTGTGAATGTATATGTTAATGCACAAGGCATATTCCCACTACCTTTTCTTCCTATTTAAGTTGCCTTGGGAACAAGGATTGCTCTTTTAAAGATTAAGTTAATGAAAAATAAACTGCTAAGATAAGATAATGCCTGAAGCTGAAGAAGCCAGATAAATGAACTAGAACTGCAAATTTTCTCAGACTTTGGCCATAGATTTTTTTTTTTTTTTTTGGAACCTGTATAAGC